GATTGAGAGAGAGAGAGAGAGAGAGAGAGAGAGAGAGAGAGAGAGAGAGAGAGAGAGAGAGAGAGAGAGAGAGAGAAGAGAGAGAAAGTGAAATCCTGAGAATGTGGGAAAACGCAAAAGTAAGCGTTTTATTACTAATTGGATTGGGAAAGGGGGTAAAGAGTGAGATTAGAAATTCGAAAAACTGGTGGGTGGGAAATTTTTAACCTAGTATTTTCGTGATTGAAGTTTCACCAAATTAGCGGTTTTACAGAAAACATCAAAATTGTACTTTATAATTTTTTCCACTTATCTTGGTTTTATACAATGACTGATTTTGTGGTTATACCAGTTATGTTTTGTATACTAGATTCATTTTTCTTTTGTCCATGTATACATAAACTCGATTTCATTAAATAGTAAGATTTCAAATGAGACAAGGTGAATATTAACGGAAAACATATAAGAAGACAACATAATGACATTATGATTACTAATAACCAACGACATTTTTATTTTTTGTTCTGATAAAATCATAATCAACACAACCTAAAATAACTCATAAAATACCATCTTATTAATACTTACGTAACAAGTTTAAAATTTATAATCCTATTACCAGTACAGGATAAAGTTTCACTTAGTTGCACGACACAAAATACAAATCTCACCTTTCAACGTCTCCTCTTCTGTTTCTTGTGGGGATGTTCATTGTGTTCCTTATGTTCCAAACCAGTACCCACAATATCTTTTTCTCCATATCCACTCTCACGCTCACCATAGTTCCTACTATATGAGCTTTCATTCTCAATTCTCGATAGTTGCTCGGTTATTTGAGCTATTTCTAATTCTTGGGTGTCCTCTACATGCAAAATACTTCTTCTTTGTTCTTTATCCATCGATGTTAGATAAACAAACTCATCTTCATCATCCAAAATATATGATTGTCTCTTAGGTTCTACTACTAGTGGAATGTAACCAAATTTTAGTCTTTTCGTAAACGGATCTATTCCCATCTTCCTGCATATTCTCTCATTCAACAATAAATAAGTGATCTCCTCCAATGATGATGTCCTAAAGGATATACCATACAACAGACCATCGATTGGAATCCATTCATAATTATCTCCAGATTTAGAATAATGTCCATCATAATCAAAGTGTATATATTTGTAGAAGAAAGACTCATGTACAATTAAAAAAAAGTTTAACCACTAAGTTATACCTAATTTATTCCTGGTTATACAGTTATAGCATGTTAGTTATACGAAGTTATACCTTGTTATATAGTTTTGTCAGTAACCAACTTTTTCCAATTTTCCAAACTTTTTCTAACTTTTCCTAATTTTTCTAGTTCTAGCTATTTGTCCTCTTCAATTCGTTTCAATAGTTATCAGTTTGGATTCCCGACGTTCTATTTTTCTTTTTTCTTATGATTACAGTTGTTAATTATTCGATTCCATAATAGACAGACCATTCACACATTCTGATCCTCAATTACTCTAGTCTAAATAGAATTGTAATTTGGAATCTCTGTAAATCGATCGTGTATGGTGTATTCTAAAGATTGGGTTACGACGAGTTAGGAACGATTTAAGATACATACCTTGTCAATGGAATCAATAGCTTAGTGATTCAGCATCTAAGCGGATGAATTTAACCGAGCTAAGCGATGATAACGAAGAAGAAGAAGAAGAAGAAGAAGAAGAAGAAGAAGAAGAAGAAGAAGAAGAAGAAGAAGAAGAAGAAGAAGAAGAAGAAGAAGAAGAAGATTTAAGAAGAAGAAGAAGAAGAAGAAGAAGAAGAAGAAGAAGAAGAAGAAGAAGAAGAAGAAGAAGAAAGAAACAAATCCCGTAGACGAGAGAGAAAAATAGATCATTCCCGATTTTGAAATAAAAATAATTCAGAGAATTTTTGGTTTTGACGGACTTTGATTGGTCATTAATTTGATCAAGTAAGGAGGGATACTTTTAACATTAACCACCCATATAGAAAGTATGAGAATAGAAAGGAGTATTTGAGAATGAGTAAAAAATATGTCAGAATGAAATTTTTAACATTTCAGCATTTCACCCAGTTATTTTACGAAATGTAAAATATCTTTGGACAACATTCCTGTTTTCTTGAATACACAAGTGTGCTACTACGCATGCGAAAGCTGGGACCAAGCGACATTTAATATCTATGATGGAAATCTATTCACATATCCTATAGAAGATCCGAATGCTTACAAAATATCGTTTTTCTTGAAGTCAGTTTTAAGAAATTGATGATATTATTCGTACTATAGTAAACGTAATATTTTATACTGTATTTAACAAAATAGCCTAGCAAATAACAAACTAACAAAATAGTTAATAAATCTTTTGAGAAATAGTTTATCATTCATTCATCCATACAATTAACTAAAAATAACATTATTTCATACAAATTGTTCATTTTTTTGTTCTTGTTGAACCAATATAATTAACAAAATCTTCTTTATGATATTTTCTTATGTATCAAATCTTGTGATCGCTTAACATTCGTTTCTGAAGAAATATATCTTCAAGTTTTGCTTACACGACTGGTTCTCTCAAACTTTCCTTCTCAAGCGGATTCCAGTCTCACTAGCCATTGAAATTAACATTGTGCACCACAAACCTTTTGGGAAGTTATGTTTTGTGATATTAATGATATTTTGGTCCAAACTTCCTAATTGTATAACAATAACAATTTCAGAGACACTTGTCCATATAAAATATAAGCTCTAAAATGAAATCTAAACGATCTTTTCCCCAAAAGCTAGTTAAGAGAGAAATAATTGGGTCTTACAAGATACTAGCTAAACACCATAGTAAACATGTGTCTCTTATAAGGTTCAAAGTAGTTAAACTGCTTTAAAATACACTCAAAATGAAGGACAACACAAAGAACCAGAAGAGGAAACAAACCAAATTACGTAAATAGAGCCTTATGGCAGCAACGGTAGGGTGAAGGCCAAAGCATGACAAACTATCTCATACCCAAATCAATCCCTCAGTCACTTGACAACCCTTTACTAATTATGATAATCCCAATCACTATAACACATGCTGATGTGGTACGTGCACTCGCTGGATTCTTAGGATTCTCCATTAACGATTCTTTAGGTGGATATAATACTTTTGAGTATAATGTGTTATCTAAAATAAATGGGGGACAACAAGTTGCTGCTATAGTGGTGTGAGTGTTGTCTTTAGGAACAAGTAGTATGTTGTTTATTGGAATGGGTTTGTAAGTGGTATTTTGGTTGGCTCTCAACAACGAGATCCCTTCCAACTTGTGTGTTTTTGAGTTTCTACTTCACTGGATATACTGTTTTTATTTTTGTTATTCTTCATTTCACAAGAGGAATAGAAAAGGAGGAAATAAAATACAGGAAAAACAAATAAAATATTGTATATTCTGAAAATGTGGAAAACTTTTTCAACATTGTTCTTCATGACTGGCTGAATCTGAGTGGTATAGAGAATGAATTTGTACTCTATTATTTACTACTCAAACTACATATAACATTCAAACACTTACGTTCAAGTGGAAATACTATAATAATAGATTGGGGGTGAAGTGCACATCGAGATGCAACTAACCATATCCAAATGCTTACTAAAGATTTTTTTTCTAATTTTAATTGTATTTTTTATGAAATCTTGTCCAGCAAGAAACAACCGAAGAGTATGACTGCATGTCTGTATAAATCATCGGCTAGGGCGTCTGGTACTGACAAGTTCGATATCAAAAACGAGAGTTCCAAGAGTAGAACCTTCACCATTGGCAAGACGTGTTGGGTTAAAGATAGTCGTGAAGAGTCTTTGTCTGTCAAAGAACTGCAAAACAAACACACACAGCAAGAAAGAGACAAAGAATACTGAAACATATTTTGAATTATAATTCTGTTTATGCATACAATCATTATGATCTCTTAACAATATAGAGTTTCTGAAGAAACCAATTCTATGGTCACCGGTTGTATGATTGGTTTCCTCAAAGTTTCAATCTTAAAACGGATTAATACTACTCGTACTCCTAACAATACCAGATATGTGGCATATCACAGTGATATGTTGATAAGTTTAACATTGTAAAACTGGTTAAAGGCACTAGCTAGCCCAAAGGTAATCAATGTGGGACTCTTAACAATAACATTTGACTATGAATCAGGGATAGAAGCATTATATAAAAAGAGCCAGAAGAGGGAGAGAGGTGGACATACATTTGGTGGAAGAGGTTCTTGTGATGTATTCAGGTAGCCTTGAGACGGAGGTATAACCACCCGACGAATCCCTCCTACTTTCATCGACCTCACGGCTGTTTCGATCCCCGGAATAACCTGCACATCAGTCATCATCAGCGTAGAACCAGCTTTGGCCAAAAGAGATCAAAACAACATCAAAGAGGCAAAGCAGAGTAATGTGAATCCTCACAAAGCCGCCTTGTAGCAGCTTCAAACACCTCATACCAATTAGATTTCAAGCTCAAACACAAACTAAACTCTCTTTCTTCATGACCCAACAAGCAAATGTTTTTATAGCATGGGTCTTCAAATTCAGACAAAATGTGCAAGACCCATGTTATAAAAAACCCGAAATTTACGGGAACACATGGTTGGGTTAAATACTTTTAGTAGCAAAATATTTCAAAGGTCACACCTTTGCGTCAAGACCCATATACAAAAATCTTAACTTTATAAGAACACAAGACTGAATTGGGAAATTGTCATTTAAATCACCAACTTTCAAATTTAGTTAAAATAAAACACCAACTTTCTCATAAGCTAAAAAACACTCAATTTTTGTTGACAAGTCATCTTAATCACAAACTTTCGTCGACCATACCAATTTAGTCATATCGTTAGTCAACAATTATAGTTGACTAACGGTATGCCTAAAATGGCTTTTAAAGTTCATTTTTTTGGCACAATATAAATCAACATTTTTCAAAATATTAGATTTTAAATATTGAAACTTTTAATAACTATTACACTAATAAATAAAATTGTAAATAAAAAAATATATTCCCACCAAAAATATAACTCAATGTAAAATTATTAATTAACATATCTTTAATTGAGTATTTTAGTTAAAAAATGATTATGATTTTTTTTAATTATTTACGATTAATTTTAAAAAATATTTATATAATCCTACTTGGATTATGTTTATAATTTTACCGTCAAAATTTTGTTAGTGAAATATTACTTCAATGCTTGATTTTTTTAAACAAAATGAGTTACAAATAACAAATAGAGTTATCGATTTGGTGAAACTTATTTTTTTTTTAAATGCAGAAAACCTCTTGTAAAAATTTTATAGAAATTATATAGATTTTTTTGAAGATCTTTATTATAAATATAAAGAATCATGAATAATTCGTTAACCGATAACTCTTTTCACTTAAGAATCAAGAGTTGAATTAATATTTCGTCAACAAACTTTTGAAAATAAAATTATAAAACACAATTCAAATAGGATTGTATAAATATTTAGAAAAATTAATCGTATATAATTAAAATATTCTTATCATTTTATAACTAAGATACTCAATTAATTAATGTATGTTAACTAATTATTTTACATTGAGTTTTATTTATATTTTTTATTTATAATTTTTTTTATTAGTGCTTCATTTATAAAAATATTTTCAATATTTAAAATATATCCAATATTGTAAAAAAATATTGATATATATTTGTGTCAAAAAACATCAAATTTGAAAGTCATTTTAGGCCTACCGTTAGTCAACTATAACTGTTGACTAACGATCTGACTAAATTGGTATGGTGGATAAAAGTTTGTGATTAAAATGGTTTGTCAATAAAAATTGAGTATTTTTTTGACTTATGAGAAGATTGGTGTTTTATTTTAACCAAATTTAAAAGTTGGTGATTTAAATGACAATTTTCTTGGAACAAATTATACTTACAGAAATAAATAATGACAAAAGACTTTTCTTACATTGGTAGAACCAAGGATGAAAGTGAAAGGAATAGAGTCTCCACTACTGTCTTTATGATCATAAGTTGAATCAAATCTCCATCCTTGCTTTGCAGCCAATCTCCCATAGTAATGTATTGCAACCTAACACTTCCCAAGTAAATATAAAAATAATTTTTTTTTACTGAAAAATCATTTCTTTTTGAAAAATTCGTCTGATAAATATATAATTTACAAAACACAGACCTGATCTCCTTCAATGGGTATTTCACCGTCTCCCACACGGAGGTCGAGACTCTTAACTCCGCCAGAGTTAGGGATCTCAGAGAACTCAGCTCGTGCCGGAGAAGAGAAGTAACCGGAGGAGATGATGGAAGACGCGACGGCGATGATGGATAGAGATACTGTTCTTCTAGATGCTGATACTGACGACGCGGAAGAATGAGATGCGGAGATGGTGATGGATGGTGGAGATGCGAAATGGATGGTGGTGATGAAGGGTGCACCTGAAGGTTGTGCACGCGGTAAGCACCGAATCATTTCGGTTTATTCGAGAAATGGAAATGAAGGGTACATATTCTCTCTAAGCTGGAGACGTCCAAAGTGGATGGAATATGATAGGATTAGGATTTGCCAAGGTTGCAGCCAAAACTAGTGGAAACAAGAATAATATAAAAATGAAATTCTTTATTTATTCTATTAACTGAAAAATATATATATATGTATATATATATACTTCTTTCATATTGCAATGTTTAAATAATGTATATCAGTATATATATATTGGAGCATTATTTATCACATAAATCTGACTCATAAATTATCATAAATGCAGCTCAGAAAAGGCTCTAAAACTGATTCACCAATGTATCGGTAAAACCTAACTATTGCGAGGGCTACCTCGTAGCCAGAGCTAACTAGTACCAAATTTATGGATAACGACTAGACATCCAGTCACCTTGCAGTCAAAGAGTTGTGAAACATACCAAGATCTTCAGACTTACAGCATCTCCAATCTCACTCCATAGTTTACTGCAAAATAGAGTGGAAAATAGAGTAATGAAAAAACAAAAATTTCATTAATCCATACTTAGAATAATCACTTTTTTGTTTATCACTCAATTTTCCACTCTATTTTGCAGTAAATTATGAAGTGGAATTAGAGATGCTCGTAGGTACAACACATGCGTCGTAGATATACAGAGTAGATGGAGCGAGCTGATCAACATATGTTTTTATTTTCTTGTGGTTGTACATTTTTTTCATAATGAAATTGAATGGACTATGGCCATGTTCGTTGTATTTGGTTGTATCATCTAAATATAACATCTGAATGTACATCTAAATGTGTTTATTTTTTAATTTGTATTTGTATATAGATACAACATTTAAAGGTTAAGTAATGCATATTCTATTTTAAAATAGCCTTTAAATATTTTTTTTAAAGAATAAAATTATTTATGCAATTAATAGTTAACTAAATTTTGACCCTCTCAACCGAGCGGGTGTTTAATTTCATATATATATATATATATATATATTTGCTTACATCATTATTGGTATATATTTTTAATAATATTCACATGTTTAAATTTTATCTATTGTTTTTTTGTCAACCAAATGTTCATTTATTTATGCTTACTAATTTTAGATAATATATTGTTGTATAGTATATATATATATATAAAGTTAAGATATGTTAATTTGTATACATGTATTATATAGTGTACTATGTTAACCCGTTTTGACAATATATTATATTTTTTTTAATAAATATAATATTAATATATCATGTTAATATAATTTTATCATATTTATTTCAATATAATAACTATTTTAGGATAGATTATGATTGTAAAATAAATAAAAATATGAGCTATTATTATGCATTAATATATTCAGTTATCGTTTATAAGATAAAAAATAATACTATATTCTCTTCTATCTATAATACATTCATAATAAATCATATTAAAAATTATATATTGAGCTAATCTGATAAATTATATTAAATTATAAATTTAGATATATATTTATTTTCATGAGTATAAAATGTTTATGTTCAAAAATATAATAGGTTGGTAAGATGGGTTTTTAGTTAGTCTTAAAGTTTTATGTAAATACTTTCATCTATTTCGTTAAAATAGAAGGGGAAGGTCCAACTTAAAGAATTACATATATAAATTTGAAAGGGAAGGTCCAACTAAAATATTACACATTATAAAAAGTCATGACTTCTATTTTAATTAAATAGAAGAAAATATTTACATAAAACTATAAAAGTTGAGATTTTGTTAAAAAAAATTCAACAAATTTGTTTAAATTTTTAAAATAAAAATTTATGACTTTAAATATCCGATTTTAATAGTCTTATTAATAATTAATATGTTATATTAATTTATATGATTTTTAATATCTGATTTTAATAGTTTTGCTAATAATTAATATGGCAACATTTTCATCTTCTTCAAATGCTTAATGTGTTGGGTTTAGAGAAAAAAAAAGAAGAAGGAAATTTACAAATATATCAATGTTCATGTTCAAAGCTAACAATATAAAATTTAATTTATTGTTTAACTTTCTTCTATATATAAAACATTCTATAGTAGGGATATATATTAATCAGAGCAATATATGAATTCATAGACAAAAATGATTTCCAATGGTTGATGTTTTGAATCACATCATGGTATAAATATGGACAGAGAATTTCATGGAAGAAAGATGTTAAAAGGTTAATAACCCAAGAAACATGAGTTGTGACCAAGAGACATGAATTGTGACTTATACAGAAAAAACTAACGTTATGAAACTCTTGTAAAAATATGATCATGGTAGCGTTATTTTGTGTAGAGTTAGAGATCATACATCTACTGACATATGTTGACAGTATGAAGACTAAAGTAAGCTTAATATTAATATTAATGATAGGAAAATTAAATGTGATGAATTTGTAGTAGATAGTCCAAAATTAATTTTTAATTATATTATGAAAATTTAAATTTTATGAAAAAAGAAGAGAAGATGTAAATACAATACTATTAATATAACACTAATAGTAATAATTAAGGTTCACCCAATTTTATCTATAATTCACCACTTTCTCTGCCACACATAAAATATTATGTAAAAGTATAATAGAAGTCATGACTTTTTTATGTGTGATTTTTAATTTGAACCATCTTTATAAAATTTATAATATTTTATACAGTTTAGTAATAATATATTTATTTTTATTTGAAATACAAATTTTTTTTTAAAGCATATTTGAAAAAAATATTTTAAAATCTTTAGAATCTTTTTAAATTTTATTTACAAATTAGTTAATTTCAGTATTAACTAGCATTAAACGTAATTAGAATTTAAATTTTAATTTCGTTTTGATTATAAAGAAAAAGGCAATTATATAAATATTTTAATTATATTTAAGGATAATAACAGTTTAAATTGACTAATTTTCAAAAATGCATTTTACATTGTACATAAAGAATATTGATTTCATGACTTATTTTATGTGTGATTTTGTTTTTAATTTATACCATTTATAAGTCATAGCTTTAAATATGTCTATCATATAACATTACAATTTATGTCATTCATTTTTAACACAAACTAATAAAAACAGTTGACATATTGCAAATCTATATAATAATAGTTCACTTCTAAGGCTCCTAAAGCTATCCACATCAGCAAGTTTGTGGGTCCCGTGCATTTAAATTTTAAAAGTTTAGAGTTTATTTAAAATGAGTATGAACAATGAATATACTTTAGCCCAATGGTATAAGGCATCCAATGAAGTCCACAAGTGTGTGGGTTCAAACCACGCAAATGTTATGTATTTTAGTTTTTTTTAATTGAATTATTATCATATGGATTTTTTAGTTTTAATGTTTTTATGTTTTTTTCCCTCTGGACTTATTGTTTAAAACTCAAAATAGTGGGACATATCCTAAAGTTTGACGAACTCACGTCAAACCCAAAAACAATTAAAAAGGATAAAAAAACGAACAGCCCAAAAAATAAAATGAGTCCCACGTGGCACTCTCATGTCCTAATATATATTTTCTGTTAGAACATATTATTATATGCGTTTTTTAGTTTTAATGTTTTTATGTTTTTTTCTTTTCTGGACTTATTGTTTAAAACCTAAAATAGTGGGACAAATCCTAAAATTTGACGAACTCAAACCCAAAAACAATTAAAAAGGATAAAAACGAACAGCCCAAATAACAAAAAACAAAATGAGTCCCACGTGGCACTATCATGCCCTAATATATATTTTTTGTTAGAACATATTTTCTAATATAGATTTTCAAAAAATTATGAATGTGAAATAAAATAAAACAACAAAATTTAAGTATTTTTGTTATTAATAAAATAACTATGTAATTTCTCTTCAATTTTTAATAGTTACTATAATTTCATTTTTATCAGACTCCGGCGAATGGATTTCCACAGTCGATGATGCCGTAAATAAAAATGCCACATTATTCATGAACAAAATCAAAACTTACAAAAAAACATATCCAAACCTATCTATTGAAACCCAAAGAACAAATATTAGCTTAAATTAAATTTATTTTCAAATTGATAAAATCGTCTAGTAAAAATATAAATACTATAAATAAATAATTATATCAAGTTTTGACCTCCGATATAAAAAAATTCCAACATAAAAAAATAAAAAACAAGATAGACACCTATTATTATACACTATAACCTATATTATAATTTAGTTATTCCTATAAACCTTACTTCGCATATAAATAACATTTAACAAATTATATATACAATATTTTCACTTTACACTCTTGATACATTATTTCCATTTCATCACTAAAAACAAAACGAGTCCCACGCGGCATTATCATGTCCTAATATATATTTCTGTTAGAACATATTTTCAAAAAATTATGTATGTGAAATAAAATAAAACAACAAAATTTAAGTATTTTTTTGTTATTTATAAAATAACTACGTAATTTCTCTTCAATTTTTAATAATTACTATAATTTCATTTTTATCAGACTCCGGTGAATGGATTTCCATAGTCGATGATTCCGTAAATAAAAATGCCACATTATTTATGAACAAAATCCAAACTTACAAAAAAACATATCCAAATCTATCTATCGAAACCCAAACAACAAATATTAAGTTATTTTCAAATTGATAAATCGTTTAGTACAAATATAAATACTATAAATAAATAAGTACATCAAATTTTGACATCCGATATAAAAACTATTTCCAAGATAAAAAATTAAAAACAAGATAGACACCAATTATTATACACTAGAAACTATATTATAATTTCGTTATTCCTATAAACTTTACTTCGCATATAAATAACATTTAACACATTATATATATATATATATATATATATATATATATATATAATATTTTCACTTTACACTCTTGCTACGTTCTTTACATTTCATCATTATTTAGTATTATTAGAATAACCCACTAAACCAATAACCGAAAAAAACACAGACAAACATCAATGATCTCCGGCCCCGCGCTTGCGCGGGGGGTATGCAACTAGTGTTAAGTGAAACACAAAGCTAATAAAAACATTTTTCTATTCTTATTTAACTCTTCTTTAAATGCGAATAAAGTTCACTTGTTTCCATTTCTAAATACAATGAATTGATATCTATTCATTTTTAAAAATCTAGTATATTAAAAAAAGATTATAAAAGATTTTGTTAGAATTTTCTTTAAAACATTTATTTTATTTCAAATAAAAGAAAAGATATCAAAAGATATTGTAACTAAGTTATGTAAAATTTTATTAAAATATAAATGAAACATTACATTAATTTTAAGAAGGGTCCATTTTAAAAATATCACACATGAAGAGAAGCTATGACTTCTCTTTTAATATCATAGATTATTATATTTAAATAAATACATCTAAATTATATTTATAATAAATTTTTTTTTATATTTAAGTAAATTTGGAAATTCAATTTTAAGGTTTTAGAAGAAAATCTAAAGTTACAGTTTTCACGAGAAATCAAATTCTATGCTTTTGACAAAAAACGTGATTTTATGGTGTTGTTAGAAGTATTTAGTTTTGCGGTTTTGACAACAACAAAAAATAATTTTTTTGTTTTCGTGAAAACATAATTTTACCATTTTAGTGAAACAACCTAAGCATTTTATAATAAGTTTTTTTTATATAATTAGACATTTGGTAAATAATTTATTAAACCTTACTTTTCACTTAACGAAATATTTTTATCATCAAAAGAAGACATGTGTTTTATGTTTTTATTTTATTCCGTAAATATTTTTGATTGGTAAAATAGTTACAAAATGTTTACAAAATGCGTATTCGCTATTTCAGATAGTATTTTATAATGGTTAGAATTAGGATTAGAAAAAGATATAAACTTGTTGTTACTAAAATGGATTTTAATATTATAAAATAATGTTTGGATTAATTTCCGATATAAAAACAAAATAAGGCTAAACTTTAAATTTTGTAAAACTTTGTAAAATAAATAATTTAGTGAATTTCTCCCAACAAGAAGAAAACATTTTCTTACTATTTTTCAAATTACAGAAACGTTTGCTATGAATGATTTCAAAACAAATTTAAATTGTATCAAGCTGTAAATATAGTCTACTATATAAATACTAGAGTAATTGCAATCCCTATACAAACATAAGTGCTTAATTTGTAAGGATGAAATTTTCACTGTTCATTTCTGAATTACATTGTTTCCCATGCTTTTCTTAATTATATACTGAATCTATTAACCTTTTTGAACATTCATTTGTATCTAAAAAAATAATTATTTTTTCAATTTTCTTTCATTTTAGAGTTTTAATTCTCTCTCTCTCTCTCTCTCTCTCTCTCTCTCTCTCTCTCTCATCTTAAATCAAATCCTCCATGTTTCTATAGTCTCTCGGCCAATCCGCCACGCACACATAATCGCCAACATCAATGTTTTCTCCGGCAACTCTCCATGTCACCAACCAACAAGCCACTCAACCTCAACCACAAATCAACTCTAACACCTTCCACTAATGGAACTCATAGACAGAGCTCATTCTCTAGACATGACCTATCACCACTCAACCCCAGGCTCTGTAAGAATCTCACCTACTTTAAAGTTAGTTTTACGCCGCAATCGTCTCCCTCGTCCTGGCCTTCTCCCTCCTTGCACATCCATTCTCACTTCGTCTTCTTCTCTCTCCTTGGCGGATGCATGTTCATTTACTTATTTATTTGTTCAGATCAGTCTTTGATTTTGTTAGGACGTCACATGATAAGTTTGAAAGCTAATGTGGAATCATTTATAGTGGTAAACTGTTTTTTTTTTATGTGGTCATGGTATCTTTTTCCTATTATAATATATGTCAGCTACTAGTTCATACATCCATGATAAATGTGTATAATGATGAAATAGTTCATACTATTTCAGTTTAATGATGCTTTTTATGATATAGCGAACTGTTTTTTAATGATGAAATTTGTGACATAGTCGGTTACTAGATTTTGCATGATCTTTTTGTACAATTAGCCAGTTATAAAAATGAACGCATACAATACAATTCAAGTTACAATATTTGTAAAACTTAAGTTGCTTGTTATGAAATGTTCTAAACCAACTAACAATAGACATAACCATCATTCGATCCAATAGCCGGTAATTTTAAATCTAAATATCAGCTAACTTATAAAGTATCCAGATAATTCGAAATTTAATCATGTTAATTTACGAAAGATCTGAAAGGTTACAATATAACAATACTAACTTACATATCAATATATGAATTCTACTTATATGAGTTAAGCTAACATTAGCCAAAATAAAATAAAGGAAAATGAATACCAAACATATATTTACTAGCCAACTAATCATAATCGAGAAAACATGCGTAGTCGGATAATCATAGTGTTAACCGACCATTTATTAAAAATACAAACTAAGAACAATGATATCTAGATTATTAGTATATATTACCGAATAAATATAACAACAAGTCAAGTAAAATCTTAATCGGTTAATTCACAAATTGCATCATACAAAGTGAAAGATACTTTCAAGAACCATGGTAACAACTAATAATCGGTACTTCACCCTTAACATATTCTCGTCTTCTGAGCTGATCCGTTGGAGATGGTACTTTACGACGGCAATGCGGCTTTAACAAGGCTTGTGCTTCCAGCTTCTGCTTGTCTACGCCTTGTGTAACCAAATCCAAATTTTGATGGTTTGAGGAGAAATTTGAAGCGCATGAGTGTGTGAATTAATGGCTATGAATCTAAAGATGATAAAAATACAACATAAAGGATTCCGATCTCAAAAGACGATGATTTAGTGTTTTATAATTTATTTTGTATGAAAAAGAGTTGTGCTTGTGATTTGGAGGTAGAAACGAGAGAGAGAGAGAGAGATCCATAATTTCTGTAGATGCATGTATATTTTTCTCAAAATTCTCGGTTCCCAACAGAAATAAATAATAGTGTTATCACCATCTTTTTACATCTATTAGCGCTGAGTGCTACCACAAGTTTCCATCCTTACTAATTTCATATGTCTATTGTATATTTTTTATGCAAATTGCTCTATTTACTATCCAAAAAAAATTCAAAAATCTAATTTTTTTTATCAATAAAAATCTAAAGTTAACCATAACAATACAAAAGCTACAAACTGTTGGGCACCTAGAAACCTAGAAGTCTCTTGTTTACCTATATCTAGAGGTCATAAATATTTTTTTTCTTACATTCCAAAATACCACTTTCATTGCTTTTAAGCACTAGTGTTGGACCAAGTGGTATATATTTTTTTTTTTTGAAACACTGGAACAAGCGGTATATATTCCTAAACAAAGATGCAAGTATAACATTCTAGATAATATTCTATATAGTGACATGTTTTTAGCATATATTCTTTTTAGCATATATTCATTCATACAGAAAAAAAAACTCCATCAGTTATGCTTTTTAAAATAAGAAATGGTTAATAATTTTAAAAGATCTAACAATTTTGGAAATTATATTTCATCCTTTTTGTGTTTAATGTTTTTTCATATTGTTTATAGACTACTGTAAGTACTTTAAATGATAATATATTTTAATCATTCGACAATCGATATGATGCTAGTTCAATTGTCATATTACCTCGCCATCCAAAAAGAAAAAGTCGAAAAGATCTCAATATTGAACACCATCCACCTTCATTTCTTAGGTAGTGAATGTTAACAAGTCAGGTGCGAATTTCAGTGCGGAATTAATAAAAACGCTTTTATTACACCAATCACAAATTTTATTTAATAATGTGCATTTTTAGTAACTAAAAAGGTAAAACCGCAAATCAATAATTTTTCTCTTGGACCGAACTTCGTAATGCTTCTACCAATTACCCAGCAGTACACTTCAAATTCCGCAATGAAAATTTTTAAATAAGTAAATTTTTAATTTTTTAGTATTTTCTGAATGAAAGCTTTTACTTTAATTGGCTTAGACTCTACCTTTTACTATTCTAGATCGAACGTAGCACAACATCATCAAAATATAATTTGACTACATTATTGTTTTATTTAATTCATTAACAGTAGAAAAAATGATATTAGTATATACTTTCGTAAATAATTTAAACATAAAAAGTTAACCAAAGTTTCATATATATATTTTCTTTTTGGGCAACCAAAATTTTTTTTCATATATTTAATGATTTCTTTATAAATAATAAATAGGTATTTTATTAGAATATATATCTACAGAAATTATATAAAATAAAAAAAAACTACAACGTTCTTATATTATGATATAGATTTTTACTTTAACTTTAATTGAATTTGGTTGTGAAATCAGAATATGATAAATATAAGCTTGAATTTTACTTCAGATGAACTTTAATATTGAAAATTAAAAAAAATAAAGAAAATAATGCAACATTATCACTAAAAAAATTCTAATTATATTGATACATGTATATATACGTTTTTTTTATCAAACCTAAACTACTTTTTAATCAAAACTGCACCATTTATTTTTATCAAAATTGCACTTATCCCCCCACATACCACATGAACCGCAGTTGTACTGTAGTGCATTTTAATTTCGCACTATTTTTAATATTAAAACTGAGGTTACCATTCAGATCCTTAGTTTAAAATAAAAAGGAACAACTTTATGCATGATATGAGAATAGTTCAACTGATATCCGGTTAAATATACCCGGTTATAAAAATTAGAATCATAAAATGAAAAAGAGAGAAAGGAAATATAGCATGACATAATAGAATAAGTTCTTAAACCTCTTTCCCAGGGCTATATATCTAGAACCATATATTTGTCAATTTGTAACCCAAGATATACATTTACAAAAAAAAAATTAAAAGACTTTCAGCTAAATAACTGCTCAAAGACATTTACAAAGGATGTCTATCATGCAGGACAGGACGTTAACGATTCAATCACCAGTGGAAGTTACGGCAAAGAAACCACATAACTATGAGACCATTCTCAGAGACGCATATCTACCCGTCCCTCCTTCCACCGAACAGCTACGTTCTGGTGTCCTCTTGAACAAACTGGTTAGTACTATCTTTGTTTCTCTAAACTAGGAATATGCTCAGATTTGTTTTCATGTAAACAAAATTAATAAAATATGAATCTTTTCTTATTATCACCTGCTTGAACGTTACATCCGTATATTTAAATAAAAATTAAGATAAAGTAACAAACCAATATAGAACATAAGGATTAGAATAACAATTACCCAAATGGTAACTGGTTATAAAATGAGACAGATCATTAATCCATTTTCTGTTTTATTTTGATATAAATGTCACTAATCCACATGTTGTCATGATATTGATATGAATATTGAACAGACCAAATATTGGGTGGACGAGAGAAACAGCAACTGCTTCATGATCTTTCCAAAGAAACTCTCTATCACTTGGTCTGATGACCCCAACTATTGGGCATGGGTTTCCAACGATTCACAAAAGTAAGATACGTTCAATTTAAAGACTCAACACTATGAATAGTTCAACCAAGTGATCAATGTTTTTATTAGAACTTTTGTACATATATTTTTGGTTTTAACTTTTAATTAATCGAATTTATGTATGTTACACATGTATTTTTATCACTTTTTCATATTTGTGACAAAACCTGCATGTGATTTGTTTTCTCTGATGAATCTTGAAAGCGAGAAAGATGTAGAAGTTGCGGAACTGAAAAACGTGTGCTGGCTCGACATCACGGGAAAATTCGACACAAGTAATCTCACTCCTGGGATTACGTACGAGGTGGTCTTTATGGTGAAGCTAAAGGATCCTGCCTATGGATGGGACACGCCGGTGAACGTAAAGCTAGTGTTGCCTAACGGCAAGGACAAACCGCAGGAAAAAAAGGTGAGTTTAAGGGAACAACCAAGGTATCAGTGGGTCGATATTAGAGTCGGAGAGTTCAAGCATGAGAGAGATTCCGTCGGTGAGATCACTTTCTCAATGTATGAGTATGCGGCTGGTGTTTGGAAGAAAGGTCTCTTCCTCAAAGGTGTTGCAATTCGTCCCAAGTATAATAATTAATATGGTATGGGATATAATATGCATATGCACATGGTACGTGCGTGTATCCGTATGATATTGATAAGGGTTCTTTAAAAGAAACATCTAAATGATAAGGGTGGTGATCTATCTTATGCCAACAGAAAAAGGGGTGATGTATCGTATTATTACTTAAATAATCACTTTGATGTTAGTGTTGAATAAAACCAAAACCTAGAGTTGGTTTTGTAGAGTTTAATTTTGAGTTTGAGCGTATGTATTTAAGATCACTAAAAATTTATTATGTATGACTAGGGTCGGTCCGCGCTACGCGCGGATTGTATATTTCAACTTTTTATTTTTAGCATTTATCTTATGTTTTGTTTATTATTTTCATATCTTTTCATTTTTAGTAAAAGCATTTTCTATTTTGTATTAATATCAAATTCTTATTTGATATGCACATTGAATTTCTAACTTTAAATTTGTATTATTTTTGTTAAACTTCATATACTATTTGATTTTAAAACTTTATTTTATTTTTATGAACTTAATCAGAAAATATTTGTTGGCATGTTGTTGTTTAACGTGGTATTAGTTTGTCTCATCTTATGGTTTCTTATATTTTCTTACTCTTCTTGTGGGATCTCAACCTTGGACAATACCTGATTCATATATAGGGGGCGTATTCAGCTGATAGCTTGAGATTATTTTTACTAAGAAGACAATTAGACATTGTGCAATTTAACTTGAAGACCCATTATTATTTAAATATGAATTTTTAAAAAGTATTTAAAATCTACGGTTATTGAACTTGATATTTCATAAAATACTCTGGAATTGATAGTTATTGAAAATATTTTAATTTGTGAAGTTCTAAAGTTTCTAGTAATTTTAGATAGTTTAGGTGGAGTTTCTTACTTTAAAAGTTTAAACTCAAATCTCAAGGTATTAGGTAATATTCTAGAATTTTTTTTTAAAAAATCACCTTAAACACTCTAATTAATTAAAGTCATCTGAAAACTTCATTAAAAATCAAATCACCTCAAACTATAGATCGAATACATGGCCCATATACATGGTAAATTGCCGAATAAAGTTAATTAAGTAGATAATTAGTGTTGCAGACAAAAAAAACATTTTCTTAGTTCATGACGCATGCTGCTCAAGAGGAGTACCTATGAAGGATGGGTTGTTTTGTTTCATAGATTGGAGAACATTAGATTTCTGGTGGAGTGAGGCAGTGAATATTGTCCTGGTGATCCCACCAGAGACAGAATTGTTAACATGTTAATGTGAGCGTTCATTATAGAACAGTCGATGGTTAGAGGGGTTCAAGTCATGGTTTCGTTGTGAAGATCTGAAATGGTCAAGTTCAAAAAGGAAATGAATGCGGTGAACTGAATCTTAATCATTTAAGATCAATTTTTAGGAATCTAGCTCTACTCCAGATTCTGGTCACTAATTAGATTAGACCTTTTTTTATGTGAATACATTGATTTGAGAAGAACTTGAATCAGTGTTGTACGAAGAGTATACACTTACGCTAATGTTTGTTATCTCCTCACTCCATTTCAGAATCTCCATAGCTAGCTTTAGCATTTGTATTTGTTTTTATTTGTCTTGTGTTGCTGTAAAGCATTTTTGGCTGAATAGTTGATGTAATTTATTCAATAATTAAAATTTTATGGGAATTTATTGTGTCTCTTTGGATTAAGTGGTTTGTATTTATTCTTTTTAATTATTAGTTGTTGGTCTTTTTAAACATTTCAATATGTTTTTTTTTAGATCACAATTTGTGAATATTAAATAGATATGTGAATAATATAAGAAAAACATCAAAAGAGGTTTGATTTTTTTAGAGGATCATGATTCATGAGATTGATAGGATTGATTCCATGAAATCTGTTTGGGTGGAACATACGTCGAATAAAATGAATAGAAATCTAAAATCTAATGGTTCTGTTTCCAAACATTTATAGTCGGTTCCAAATTTAATTGTTTACATACGCAAGTTCAATAATATCTACACAATAAAAAGGTCTGATCAGTTACAAAAAAAAAAAAAAGAGAGAGAGAGGTCTGATATAGGTAGAGGATTCAGAAAAAAGTATATGGGATTCATTTTAGTGTCAACTCCTTTATTAATACTACTAGGTGTTTTGTCCGCATATGCGGGTTTAATTATTTTTAAAACAATTTAAAAAACCATCAAAATAAATGATTATTTTCATCCAAAAAATTAGACCTAAAACATTAAACGTTTTTACATGATAAAATTATTTATAAATTAAAAAAAATCTATTTTTCACTTTAAAACTTTGAAAACAAAATCTTAATTCTGTTTCATTTCTTCTCAATTGATAAAAAAATATAGAAACTTATCTTTCAATAAATATACATTCAAAAATTGATCTTATTAAAAAAATATTAGTTTGGATAATAATACAATATATTTGAATTTATTTTGTCAACAACGTATTTTTTTCTTTTTGAATGATCTTTTATTTTTATTATGATTAATTCATGTTTAATGTTATACTATATAAAATATAACATAAATTTAATTTAACGTGTGAGTTAAGAGGCGAAAAATTACTTCACAAATATATATATATATATATATATATATATATATATATCATTATGTTATATCATTATATTCTTTTAATTAGAAAATAATTATGTATTATAAAATTTTCAATTTTCTCTTTTCAATTATGTACAATTAAAAAGTTTCTTTATGAGTATTTATTTATGTGTTTTCTGTTTTTGATTTTTTATTAAAATATATTTTTTGGATAACAACACAATATATATAGGAATTATATTTTTTTCTTTTTAAATATATATTTAGATTATGGATAATTCTTATCATTATTATTAATTTAAATCATGTATCTAATAAAATAAATATCAATTTCGTTTTTATTTTATGTTTAATTTATATATTTTATTCATTAAGGGTATAAACGATATTAACCACTCTAACTTTTAACGTGAGAGCTCCGTTGCGAAAAATCACTTCGCAAATAATAGTATAGATACTAGGAAAAGATCCGCGCCTTGCGCGGGATGAAGCTATTATTTCTATTATGTTTTTAAAAATGAAACAATAGTTCGGTTTCATTCGGATTAGAGGTGTTCAATCCGGATATCGGGTTTCGGTTCGGCTCGATTTTTTGGTATTTCGATCATTAAAATATAACTACTATTCTAAATCTATATGTACTTCAGTTTGATTTGGTTTATATACCATCGGTTTTCAGTTTATTCAATTTTATATCAAAAAACATAATTATTTAGTTTGAGATCATATTANGATTTTTTGGTATTTCGATCATTAAAATATAACTACTATTCTAAATCTATATGTACTTCAGTTTGATTTGGTTTATATACCATCGGTTTTCAGTTTATTCAATTTTATATCAAAAAACATAATTATTTAGTTTGAGATCATATTATATATTATACAAATATATAATATGATCATATTTAGAGTCATATTGTCACAGAGTCATTTATTAAAAAATATTATATATTTAAATAAAAGAATAAAAAACAAAAAAGGTTTCTATCATCTAATAAAATGATTAAATCTAGAATTAATATCAAAACACTAAATTTTGAAAATAAAAATAAAAAACAAAACAGAAGCATGAAAGAAAAGTTTTTATATTCTTCCATATTTAGTGTTCATCAAACCAATATGTCTTCGATTGAACACAACTCTGTTTGTTTAAAGAGAAAAAAAAAAGTTGTAAAGAATTTCAACTAATTGTTGTCCATCAAATTTATAATATTTACTTCAATTTTGTTACTGTTAAAAAAGCAAAAGATCAAAATAAGAAGTCTTAGTTGTAATAAATTGTTAGCTATTTACAAATTATAATTATAGTTCAATTCATGTAACAAATAGATACTCATGAATCGTTATAAATATATACATATTTACATGTTTCAGTTTAATCGATTATAAATCAAACCATATCCAAATCCTATGGTTTTTATAAAATCACATTCATTCGGTTTGTATGGTATATACCAAAAATAACCATATTATCGATTCTTAATATCTTTTAAAAATATAAAACTAAAAAAGAACTAAGATATTTAAATCATTGATAACAAAAAAATTCAATGTGAAAAATTTAATAAGATATTACTGAAAGTCTGAAACCATTTGATTACACAGTCTTCGTTCATCCTTCTAGCTTTCACTATACGTTTCCATAGGTTCAAGCAGTTTGGTTTTTGAAGTTCCTTTTGAAGTTTTTTCACCTTAGTCACTTCAGCCCTACAGATGTGAAGCATGAGAAGTCATTATATACAGATGAAGTACAACAAAATCACCTTTTAGAATCAACAAAATCTGGATGCATTAGCAGTACCACTTCTTGTGTGTTTATCTGAGGTATATCATCCAACATTTTTTTCTCATTTATTTTAGCATACAGCTTAGCCCTATACTCCAGAAACATGCGAAGACATTACAGGTCAACCATGATAACTATATGTTCTAAAGCTCAAACAAACTCAGATGCATAACAACATTTTTTGCTTAACTTTTTGAAAGACCTGCCTTTAGCCAACAACTGTAACATGAGAAGGAAAAATCAGATGGAGAGACAGACAAAAGAAACAAACTATAAATGTATCCTTTCAAAAAACACTAATTTTGCTAAAGATGGAGAGGCAGACAAATGATGAAAGTAAGAAAAGACATTACACACATATCAATCATAAAACAGCTGAAAAACAACAGCTCCAATCATAAAACGACCAAATGATCCAAAGATCTTATACAGCCACATTGCGAGCAGAATCCAAGACAAAGTTTTTTTTTGTGATCCCTTAAAACCTATCCACAATACTCCTTTCTTCTCCTGCAAAGAGAAACCTGTTTATATCTAAGTTAATGGTACCAAGCAAAAAAAAAATGAATACAGGAAAAAAAGAAGCAGGAGAGTGTTACCTTTAAGAGAAAGTAACCCATGATGTTATTGACCCTCTGAAACAAAAACAGATTCACCGATGTTGATATGGGCTTGCTTGGTGTTCTCTATTCAAGTTAGTTAAAAAGGTTATGAGAAACAAAATAATTAGGCTTTGTTCTGTATTTTTACTTTAGCTTCAGCTTGCATTTCCATGGCAATCCTTACTCCATTAGGAGGCATGATATTCCCTGGCAACATAACACTTGTACTTAGAATTATGCAAGCAAGTAAATTCAGCCAAAGAGGAACACAAAATGACTCACTTGTCGCATAAAATGCACTGAAGAACCTAATGTTTTACAGAAACATTGATGACTTCGTGAAAGAATGATTCTGTTTCAGAACCATCATGTGCTTCTGTAATATGCAATGCATAAACTGTATTCTCCAGTTGCATTTTATAAACTCTAATCTAATCAAAATTAAACTCAATCTCAAGCCTAGGTGTGGTTAAAAGAACCCAAAAACCCTAAACAAACTGCTGTCCTAGGTACTAACTAACACGACATCATAGACCCTCAACCACTTGTTAAAAAAGTTTGCAGACCCAAATGAGACTCGTTTTGTGAATCACAGGACTTCAAATTCGAGTTTATAACGATGTGGTGGAAGGGTGAGACACTTAAATCAGTGTTTATTATGGCTGCCCTGACAACGCCCTAGAGAAGCTTCGGAGGGTAGTGTGCTCCTAGATAAAATACATGGTGTTATGTTTACAGGGGTAAAAAGTTTGAGTCTGCATTAGCAAAAACTAATCAAGAGTTTCTCTCAATTCTCATAACATGAAGGCACCATACAACTTACAGTCATGCTCAAGAAGAAGACAAAACGAGTTCCACATCTTTTAGAAGTCGGTCTGCACATAAGCAAGTATAGATTAAAGCCAAACATAACTAAAAACAAAATAATCCAACAAAAAAATTGCAGAATATGTGCATGTGGGATAATGATTCCTTTTTTAATAGAGAACTAGATTTTGACCCGCCCTTAAAGAGGGCGGGTCAACCGTTTTTGCTTTAAATTTATGCCCTTGTTCAATTATTCACAAGTATGTATAGGCATGAGTATCCGGGTTCAGATCGATTGTCGTTAATAATTTGGTTTGGTCCGACATATATAGATTAAATAAAATAACGTACAATTTAATGTGTGGTGTAGGATTTATTTTTTTTATTCGTTTTAGTTAAATAACAAATTATAGGGACCCGATAAAATTATGAGTTCTATTCGGTAATCTAAAGTATTGATTTGTAAAAACAGAAATAAGATAATTAATTTTTAATAATTTCATATTGGTTAAAATTGATTTTCTTAAATAAAAATTATTTTTAGATATATTTTACCAATTCGTTTTTGAATCATTCCTAGACAGAGACCCGTTTCTTGTTGATAAAATTATTAACTCGTTTGTTAGATGACAATAGAAATAAAAAATGTATTTGTGAGATCCATTTGTAATCAAGAAATATTTAACATATTTAATGAAACAATCTGTAAATATTAATTGTAAAATTTCTACTTCATTAATTGCAGATTAATTTTGTAAAATCAACTTTATTTTAAAATTTAAAATATTTATTTAA